CTTTGTATTTCTTCACTGCAAAGACTGTAGTCAGGCGGGTAGCTTGAGTCAGAGCTGCAGGACGGGGCAACCCTGTGATGTCTCTAGGAGGGAGCCTGACACTCAGGGGTGGATTGAATGCAGGTTTGTGGCATCTAGGTCACAACACTGTGGGACAAGCACCTTTATCTCACATGGCAGTGGGGCAGCAGAGGTTCGGATGCAAGGCTGTACCTCCTGGGGTCACTGCCAGCTGTGAGGCTGCTCAGGTGGCTCCGGGCAGGAGATGGGAGCACCTTGTCCTACACTAGGGTCCTCACATGTTAGAAATCCCACCCAGCTCGAGTCAGTCAGACCATCATCCATCAAACCACTCTACTTCTTCTGCCAATTGTACTGCCCTTCAGTGTTTTATCCTTGATGCTGGCGTATTTCTCATGTCCTCAGGTTAGGCTAGGCTGCCTTAATTCTAAAGTCGCTGTTATGGCTATCTGCATATTATTTACAAAATAGCTCATTAGATAGTTTTTATAAATATTACATGTGGCTACAGAGGACTTTGTGATGATGTCTCTTGACATCTGTTTATTTTATAGGAGATCACAGAGTTTTCTGCTATTCTGCCTGGCCTTGGAAGGAAGCTTCAGCACTCTGACAGAACCCAGTCCCAATTAAGACTCAATTAGAGACAGATGAATATTTCATAATGAATAATGTGTACAAAGTAATTCACCTCTTTTCTCCATGCAGTGCTTGCAATTTTCTCAAGTGAATTCTTTATTCAAATTATTCACAGAAAAACAAGTACAAATAATTCTTGTTCTGCACATTCTTCAACAAGCATCACCACAAACCTTTGAAAGCTGGGTCAGCTGGACGCAAGCAATTGATAACACTGACGTGACCTATATGTTTAAAAAATCATCACTCAGTTTCCCCAGATCATCAGAGAGATGTGTAAATCTCCAGATAAATAAATGCTGGATCCTTTTAATTTGCCCTCTTTGTTCTGACTCCTTGAGGACATTTGAATTTAATTTTCAAGCTTTTCTCTGCAACATAAATGAAAGCTGCAACTTTCATCTAATTACGTTTCTACATCTCCAAGGAAAACACCAATACCAAGATGCTTAGGATCAAAACAAGAGATGATGGCCCTGAGGTGAGTGAGTTTCTTCTCTAACTGGTTCAGCAAATCTCTCCAGTGAACATTTGTGCCAAAAATTCATAATTACACTCTGTTTTGGTACATTTGCTGCAAGAGCTGCTTAGAATTTGCTCGCCCTGTCTCCCAGTGACACCTCCACTGCGTTATTCACTGCGGAGGCACACGAGGAGTGGAAGTATGTCATACGAGCCAGCGAGTCCCACAGATATTTTCTACTTGCTCAGCTTTATCTTCAAGCCTGTTATCCGGTGATCAAGGCTCTCTAAAGTTTGCTGTTGTCAGGAAAGGTTTGGGGTTTGATTTTTTTTTTTTTTCCTAGGCTTGGGAAAAGATCACTTACCCGAGAAGAAAGAGAGCAGCAGCAGGCTGAGAAGCACTAAGGCACCTGTTGCCTTCATGCTGCAGGTAGCTCTTTAGTCCAAGCCAAGCGATCTGTGCCGGAGGTGTCGTCTCAGCATCGGAGCCCACAGTGCACACACAGACCCGCCTGCCTGTGTATTTATGTGCCCATCCGTAGCCGTCCTCATTCCCCACCTTAATTGTGAGAACTTCTCCGCTTCGTTTCTAAAGCCATTATTGGTCCTGGCCATGTTTATAGTGCTTTAGGAATGCTGCCCTGTCCACATCAAACCTAGAAAGGGCTAATTATATGGGTGATAGACAGGCTTGTAATATCTTTTTTTTTTTTCTAAATAGTCACAAGATTCTCACAAGGGTGAATTTTCAAAGCGGTGATTCATCGGGGAAGCTGGTAATTTTCATTCTCTGGGTCCTTGCAGAACGCCAGCTCCGAGGCTTTGAGTGCGGCGTGATGACACTCACCAGACATTACAAAATAAATCACAGCATGAGAATATGTTGTCTGTGAAACCAATTATACGTTGTTCCCTGGCTATTTTTGAGGATGGTTCTAAATTTGTTGGGTTGGCGTGGAGAAGAGCTCCAATGTGACATGCTCTCATAGCTGTGTGCACAGTCCCAAATAAGATTGCTGACTCTCCTCCCTGAACTATTTAAACTCTAGCTGTCAATGTTTTCCAGGGTTTTTTTTTTTTGCATTCACAAACATATGTTAGGGCTCCGCTCCCACAGCAAGTGGTAATGAAGGGAATTTGATGGGGAACTGGGAGACCTGAGCTCGATTCCCAGCTAAGTCTGTGCAAGGATATGTGTTCAGCCGCACGACTTAAAAAAATACCTGTTCATATAAGAATAAGCTTAAAATCTTAGTGTGCTTTCCTAAGGAGACCAGGCTTAGGAGAGCAATGTGTAATACATCTGTTTATTAGTTCCCCCAGTATATTTTCAATCTGCAACTAATTCTAACCAAATTTGACATAGGAACAGAAAAAAAATAAAAATAATAATATAAATACATTTTTACACATTTTTCTAGCAACCAAGGAAAGATGCTACTAATGTCCTCAGCCAGCGAGAGAGCTTCTGCAGGACAGCGATGTTATGAATGCCTTACATCTGAGGAGCATTAGAGTTTGCAGCTTGCTAGACATCTGAAAATCCACACAGCAGAGAAACCGTGACCAGCAGGTGAGTTCTCAGATGTCTGTGAAGGGTGAGCTCACCATGCAGCCTCTCCTATAATGTAGTGACCAAGCCAGGCAGCTGCAGTGTCGTTCGGAACCACGCCGAGTTCTGCCACTCGCAGCACTACTCGTTTGCCTTTTCTCGTTTCGTACGTCACTGCTCACGATCACAGCCTTCATGCCTCAGTCCTTTATCTACCCAAAGGTGTCGGTTGCTGCAGCATAACTGACTGTCTAAAGCCTCAGCAAATGTACCACAGGGACCAGTCCCTTCCGGGCTGAGGAGAGGAAGAGGCTAAATTACCAACCAGGTGATTACTGGTATTACCCCTTTCTACTTCATTGCAATCTCTGAAACAGGCTACTTGCTGAGGTAGGTGTGGGAATTCTCCTGTCCCTGTGACTCCTTTGAAAACCAGGGATAGAAAAAGGGCACCTGAACCTTGCTTTGCAGTCTAAGGGGTGAAGTTGGGCGGAGTTTTGCCAGTGTCAAGCCAAGTACTTACCTATGCTGCAGTGTTTACTTTTATGTGATACAAACCTTTCCATCTTCTAAAGAGTTCTTACTTAGAGGCTCACAAGACATATACCCAGTACTCGCCATTTGCCCTCCCTTTGCCTGTAGGTGAGAAGCTCTTCTTTGGTCATTTCTAAAGCCTTCTGAGCTCCTAAGCAAGTATCTGGCATCCTCAGGCAGAAGCTATCACTGCAGAGGAAGCTCACTGTAGGGTCATGTTGTTGAAGACAATTTCCCTCTATGGCCAAAACTCCATGGCCTCTCTTTAAAACTCTTGACCAACAAGAAATTATAGCACAGGTCTGTCCTGTGCTGACAGCTCTCTGTTAACATCCACTAGCTACTTAGACTATTCCTTAATTATTTTTCACACACGCAGAAGCAAGTAAGCAGTGAGAACTCTCATGACTTCCCCAGACTGTCTTTTCTCAAGAGCAGGCAAAAAGGCATGATATGATTTATATTGCCTGTACTAAGAGAGAAAAAAACCCAAAACAAACAAACAAACCCAAACCTGAAAATAAGAAGTTCCATTCCTCCTCCTAGGACAGAGCACTGTTCTGTGCTAGTACTAGGGGAAGGACAAGCCTCTTATCTTCCAGGGGGAAGCACCTGCAAAATTCCTGGTCAAGAAATTATCTACAAGACCCAGAGAAAAGGCTTGGAAGTCACAGATTTTGTCTTAAATATCAGACTTGGCAGCAGATATTCTTGTTACATCACAAAAGAATGTCAGGTGGAGAAAGGAAGAGGAAGGGATTGTGTGAGCCATGACACTTGGGACTTTTTGCCCATGCTGTTTGCGTATTAACTCTTTGACTCACCTGAAAAGATGGCACATCATCATGAACATTCATACATACCATTGCTCCTCCAGTGCACTCTTTAGACTCCCGCAACGATGGTATCTCCATACCTTTCTTCCCCAAGATAGAAAGCCTCTTGTAGCTACCAGCATATCTTCTGGCCCTTCTTTCCTGGGATTAGAAAATCCAAGGTCTTTTCCTGTAGACTTTCCTGCCCTACATCTGCCTCAAATACCACAAGTACAACTTTCCAGATCTCTTCTCCAAGAGGCTGAAAGCGTGAGCCCAGTCTAATTTTTTTTTCTGGGGTTCTCATTAGGCTCATTACAGTCTTGTCTAGCTTGCTGCAATTTTCTGCTGATCAACACAGTCTCGATGAACACACCCTTCCAGGAAGCAGCAATTCCTAATTTTCTTCCCTGTGAGATAGCCTCCTCCCTTTGCTACAAGCCTCCTTTTTATAATGCCCTGCCAGACCTGCCCCTTGCCCAGGTGTGACCAGGTGGGGCTGACCATGGCCATCCCCCATGCCAGGGCCCCTAAAAGAACCTGTTCCTCCAAGAATCAGTACTGTTACAAAGTCAAATCCATTCACACTCTATAAGACATGCAAATTAGGAAAGTGGCAGTATTTTATAGCAGCTTGGTTTCTCTTCTAATGGTGTGGTGTGGAGTGACGTACTCTCACAAGGGTTTGGGTTGGTGTGTGACAAGCACTAGCTTTGCTCTTTGTTGTGGTTTATTTCACAACTTCTCCTGCCTCACAGATAAGTACTTAAAGGCCTGGAGACCATTACCTTTGCCCTGGAAAAAGAAAAAAAAAAAAAAAAACAGAAAACAGTCCACGGCAAAGAGAGTGGGTGCGTTTAATTTATTGATTAATCAAAGCAGAGACCAACGTGCAACAGTCAAGGGAGCAGGGAAGAGCATGTGTGATTGCAGGATTTGTAAGGCAAAAATCAGGACGAAGGGTATGGCTCCAGAGCTCAGCACTGGCCACGGTGTTGGAGCCGCAGAGTTCCTCTGCTCCTCCTGAAGAGAAAGAGGGAGACCAAAATTAGAGACATGGATCTCATTTTTATAGTCTAACTTTACCTAAATAAGCCTTCTTGCTCTCTGAGTTATAAAGTAATGCACTTCATGTTTCATCTCTTTCCTGATTCCTCAGGTTACACGCTTTCTCACATTAAAGAGATTTGGGACAAACCCCATAATTTTGGACACCTCCTACAGTCACAGTTTAAATCACTGTGGCAGGGAGGGAGTCAGCAACTCTATGAGCCTGCAAATGGGGATCTGGATTTAATTGGAAGGGAAGAAGAAGGCTCACTTGGGCTTAAGTTCTGCAGTGCCTGGAGGGTGACAGAGAAGTGAACCCCAGGAGAGGAGCACGGAGTAGGGATGGATTTACCAAGAGGGTAATGGGAGCTCCAGGCCTTCCACACCAGCTGCCGTGGCTGCGTATGTGCTCTGGCCCCTCTGGTTTCATGGCTATGTGGTGAGCTCCATACTCACGTGAATGCATTGCAGAACTGGCACTTGTTTGAGTAGGTTCTGCCATCGGAGCCACAGAGAGGGTTGTAGTCAGCAGGGCAGATGACGCTTCTACCCCGGTATTCGCTGCAGTCAATCTCCTAATAGTGGAGTAAGAGCACTTTTTAAAGTTTTTGTTCCCCATAATTTCCTTCCTGAATGCTTTATGTTTATTTAATGTTTACAATACGGCAAAGCATAAAAGCACTTTTCAGGTACAGGGCTCTATTGTTCCAGCAACTCTGCAAACTCAGAGGCAGAGAATGTGCCTACTTCTGGAAGCCTGAAGTGGGGAGAAAGCAAGGGCAAAAAAAATGTGATCAATACTATTATAAATAGGGAAATGACCATGCTGGTATTTCCAGGTTGGCCCTCCCATGGGCTGCTTTGGTTCAACACAGGCAAGCATACAGCAAGCTTCGCAGTGCAGTGCAGAAAGTACTCCCACCCCAGGAACCACCGCCACTGGTGGGGTGGTAGTATATCATTCTCCTGCAGAAGGGATGAGCAGAATCTCTTGCTCAGCCCCTTTCCCAGTAAATGAATGTCTCAGCACCCACTGACTGCTTTGTCCCCAGGTCAGAGGGGGGACCACATATCTGAGTGAGGGATTTGGTTCAATACCCTTTGACCCTATCATACTTCAACTGCTTTCCTCAAATCCCATTTGCAGGGCAAAGGCACCAGGACAGTGCAGGCGTTTCTATTATTTAGTTACGATGCAGTGAATTTGTGTTGTAAATGTATTGTAACAGCAGTTGAGTGCAGGTTTTTGTGCTTTACCTCAGTGGAAGTTTTGCATTCTCCATGATGGCGCACGTTTAAGTCAAGACCATTCCTTTGGGAAGAAAGTGAGGCAAGAAAGAATCAGCACAGCTGCTTCACAAGTCAAACTACCTCGTTACACTCTAAATATCAACATGAGCACCCACTGATCCAGAAACCCATAACCCAGCCCCTTCACTTACGCCACAGCATTGCAGAAGGTACATTTGTTTGAGTAGGTAATCCCATTGGTGCCGCAGATGGGCATGTACTCCATGGTGCAGGCAACCGCGCGGCCACTGCTTGCTTTCAGATGGCCAGTACAGTCGATCTGAAACAGTCACAGAATAACACTTTAATCTCTGCTCCCCTGTGCACCCATCCTGTGTAATGGAGCACGGTGCAAGAGACATCTCCCCCTCTCCCCAGAGCTGCAAGGGCAGAAGAGCTTCCAGCCCCAGCCTGATGGATTTGAGGAAGCACACACAGTTGAAATCCTGCAAGTGGGTAGAGCACGATCTTGTTTTTTCCTGTCCTGAAGTGGGCTTCATTCCTATCATCTTCAGAATTTTCACTGGGAATGCCACCATGAAGGATCTTTGCCTAAAAAGCCTTACGTGGCAGCAGCTTCTGCTGCAAAATGTCAATGCCACTAGCAAACAGAGTTTACACTCACCTTGGTGTTTTTGCAGTTACTCTGAGTGTACTAAAATGGAAGTCATCATGTTATGTTAAATTGCACAGCTAGAGTGTTTCTTTAGTTTCTCTCTCTAAAGTTAAAACAGATACTTCTCCATAGCAGTGCCATATATTAGTAAACAAACTTTAAGATAAATGTCCTGATAGAACAATTTTTTCTGTTACAAAATTACAATTTATCATAGAATCATAGAATGTGTTGGGTTGGAAGGTCTAGTCAAACTTTTTTAAATTTAGTCAAAATTCAAAATTCCTCTGGGAATTTCTTACCTTTAACAAGCCTCTAAGTCTAAAGAGAAAAATTTTGATAATGCTGAAGAATTACTGAAATCAAAAGTTCCCATTCTTAAGTCTGGTGTTATACACAAGATAATATTGTAAAACTCACTGACTTTAACTGTTCCAACAAAAGCTAAAAGGAATTCCTGAAAATCTGAAATTCTTCAATTTCATTCCATTTCTGACAGTTTAAAATTTCGTGGGTTTAATACAGAGTTATTCCTCGGGAAGGTTTGTGTCTAGCTCTTTGCCATCGTTTCACCCCCCAGCGCTCAGCACAGCGGGAGAAGGGCCCGAGCTCAGCTCGTACCTTCACACATCTTCCATCGTGCTTCTTGTCAATGGCGCGGTTACGGCTAGAGAGAGGGAGAGGGAAGGAAAAGAAGGATTAGTCTGTTCCTACCATGTAGTCATCTCACTCATTAAGCCTCTCCACTCGTAAAGCCCCAGTAATTAATCAGATTCAAGAGCTTGGACATGGAAGATCATGGGCATTAGGGAAGACAGAAACTTATGAAAAAATCTAGTCCGCCCCACGATTAGTCACAACCCCAAAGGCTTCTGTCTGCTGCTTCAACTGGCATTGCAAGTAATCAGGAGACCTTATACTCACAACAGCTCTTTGCAGAGGGAGCACTCGTTGGGATAGGTCACTCCATCAGTTCCACAGACAGGTTCGTAGTTGCGGGGACAGGCAATAAGTAACCCTCCAGTCAACGGGTATTTGGTGCAGGAAGCCTGTTAAAAAAGACTTATCATTTCTCCAAGTGGAGAGAAGAGTGTGCTTGTGTTTATCATATTTTCACTGTACTGGGAGACTACTGTTGGTCATTTTTTTTCCTCTATCATTCCTCCATGGTGAAGAAGAGAGGGAACAAACTATACCGTGTTTCTTACAGCATACAAAGGGAACTTTTTGCTATTAATACTTTCAGTACTTTTGGCAAGAGTTACAGGCAAAAATGGTCATTGCTTGGGGAATCAAGACAGGGAGGATATTTAGGCAGTTATTCAATAGTTGTATAGATTTTCTGCTGGTGCTCTGTGCTGTGCTGACTCCTACTCTGCATTATTTATCACTGTCTTTTTTATCATCAACACGGTAAGTTGTCTTTCTCTGACAAAGATACTTTCTTATTTTGGAGGAAAGAAGTGGCATAATACTTAACAGTACCTTTACTTCTTCCTTTCTCACTCACTCTTTTTTTTCCTCCCTCAAACCTTCCCTGGGGTACAGTGTCAGCATGAATTATTCATCTAAACTTCGAAATCAAGACTAAATTACAAAGATGATCTACTACTCACCCGCAGCTGAGCGCTAGCAATATCTACAATAAAAACAGAGATTATAAAATATTAAAATTGTACAGTGCCCTTGACTAAAATTCCTTTGGAATTATCAATTTCCCAACAGAGTAACGAAACACACTTTCTCATTACTGAGAAGTGATTGGTTTTCCAAATTTTTTATCTACTCCAAGTAAAAAAAAAGAAGTTATATACTAAGATTTAAAAAGTCTATTCTTTGTAAAACTAGAATTTTTGACTCACTAAAGAAGAAAGAGGACATAAACTTTTCTCCTTTTGCAGTACTATTATCCCCACTAAGATTCATCAGCTTAAATCAGAGAAAAGCATCCTATCGATATATAGTATTTATCTGCCCAAGGATAAAGTTCATTAAAAGAGAGACCCCATATTACTAAATCATCACATCTCCAAAACACCGAATTCTCCTTTAGGGTATATATATAAAGCCAAGGGTTCAGGAGGACTAGAGCTACTAGCATAGTCTGTAGCAAAAACAACTTACCAGAAAGGCAGCTGAGAAGCATAAGCCCAAGAAGGGCAATGCTCCCTGTTGTCTTCATAGCAGAGATGGTTGTATAGTCAGCTACTTGCAAAGCTGTTGATTGAGCTCAGTAGATGGTTCTCAGCCTTCTTTCTCTGCATTATATATATACATTTCCCTGACCTTGTGAAGTCATCACAGAAAGTAATTATTTGCTCTGTAAACGAAGAAAATTGTATTGATTATTGAGTTGAGCTCTAAAGAATACTTGTTTGTTAGAGAGATGGCCAGAAGAATTAAAAAAAAAATGTGAGCTACACCCAGCTTGTTAACAATGAGTGATTTGTACTTTCCAAACAAGAGCACTGTCTTAATAGTAGATGTTGTGAAATTACGTATGGAAGTTGGTAAAGCAAAAAAAGTCCATTTGTTGAGAGTGTTTGAACTTGTGCACACAGTATTACATACACTAGGGCTCCAGGAGATTTCCATGGTACACCAGAGAGGGAGTACAGCAGCATGGGACACCTAAGCTTTTACAGACTTAAAATCTGGCGTTTGGAAGGCATCAGCCACCCTCAGCATCCCATTTTAAAGATACTGAGGGGTCAATTAATCTGTCCACACTATCTTCTGTAGTTTCCTGGTACACTGGATTTCTCACCACCAGGAAGGAAACAGTCATCACAACAGGAAAGCATTACCTAAAACTTCAGAAGTTTACAAGGCATTTCTAGGTAGGAGCAAGAGTTATTAATCTGTTGGCAATAGGCGTAAGTCTGATTAAGAAATTATGAGAATAAGTAGCCTTAAACCTGGACTGGATAATGTTACCTTTTAATGGCAAGTGAGTGGTATTCTGTGCAGGTGAAATGGGCTTCTTAGCATCAAAAGCATTTCAGAAAAATTTACAGCAGCTGCAGACAGAAGGCAAGTCCTTAGGCTTCCCCCGTCCCCCTCTGTTATAGGGCATTAAATTTAGAGTGTCAGCTGCAAGTTGTATTTTAGGGAGGATAAGTGAAAATAATGTGCTAAGTTCTGTTAAGTGGTTCAACTCGCTTGTAAGTGTATGGAAAAACAAATAAGGAATATTGCATAAAGTCATACATTTTTAAGGTGGTCATGGAAGGAAGTGAGGGATGGAACATGTTTGTGCTTTAGAAGAAGCTTGATACACACGTGGCTTAAAGGCAGCCTGAGTTTTAGATAGATAATCAGAACTGTTTTTCTTATTATCCTGGGAGATGTTTAAGTCTTTGCATGGGCAGAGAAATCACAAAAATGTAGCTGAAAGTGTAAGGGAACTGTAGTCGGAGAATAGAGTGTGCAGGATTTGGCCTGTACATATCAGTGAAATCATTTCCCTGAAAAATAAATGAGTAATGCTATTTGGATCTCATTCACAAATATCAGAAGTTGAAGGGTTCCTTTGAAAGCTGTTTCTGTTTTATTCTTAATACCCTGAGTGACGTGACTTTAAAATTCCTTGAACTGATTGTGGGCATATTTGGAAGGAAAGCAGTAATCACAGAAGCATTAATTTTGATTATTCTCCAGGGCCAAGAATGCCAAAGGCTGAAAGCAAGGCTTCAGAATTTGCACCAGCTGCTGCTGAAGATGGCACTTGCTGGATCTGCGGTGGTTAGAGAGGCTACAGGAACATAGTCTGTCTCTTCTTCAGCCCTGCAACCCAAGGGTCTCTGTAGCCACCACCAGACCAGAGATCCCCAGTTGCTGGAATCTGTGCTGCTTCTCCCCTTGCCTCTCCTGCCAGGTTGAAATCACACTGGTCGGTCAGGAGCTGTTGTGAACAGCGAGGTATCTGCTAGGGAGTGGCATCGTTCTCATGTTTGGCCAACACCTTTGATTAACTAGATCTGCTGAGGAGATCCCCAGCTGATCCACGTGCTGCTTCTGAGGGTCTGGGTAGCCAGCCAGAACTACTCCAAGAGCAGCCCCTTTTCCACCAGCAATCCCTGCCACTTCACAGGGCAGCAGGGAGGAAAAGAGAAGCAAGGAAAGAATCTTGCTACTGGATCTTCTGTGAGAAAAGATGGCAGATAATTGGTAGCAGTCAGGGCAGGGCAGGGAGAGCTGCTGGGATAGGTGTGACATGGGGTTGCACAAGGAGCTCCATTAATAAGAAACAGAGGGAATGGGACAGAAGTAATTGTGGGGCAGCAGATGGGCTGAAAACAGGCCTTAGGAGCAGTCAGAAACAACCGTCTCCATGCATTTGGAAGAGTGAGCTTTGGGAAATGTCATATACATGTTTCAAATGGGAAGGGCAAAACAAACCCACCTGGCAAACCCCCCTGTGATATTCAAGGGTACCATGATGGTGGGCTCAGTAAAGTGACATTGGGCACGGGATCATTTTGAAGTTTCTACACATACAAGATCCACAGAAAACTTTAAATAAAACTCTTCCTGTTCTTTTGAGTTCCTAGAGGGCAAACATTCAAGAAGTTTATGGCCACATGAGTAGGATAAAAGTCAGTAGCCATCTAATGGATTCTGTTGTAGTAATGTAAATTTCCAATAACTCTGGAAATTCTACTCAGTGTCTAATCCAGCATTATTTCTTCCCATAGTATTGGTATTTTCCTGGGAATCTTTTCCTCTGGTCTTGAGACCCACTATCTCAAGCAAGTCCATAACCTATGACAACCTAACAAGTTCTTAGTTTATTTTCCCTGCTTTAGTTTGAAATGTCACAGGATTCACCTGGCTACAAAGAGAAATGATAGTTCTTCACTTTGCCGTTGACTAGCAATGTGGCACAATGCAAGAGCTCCCAAAACCAGGTTGCTGTTCCCAGACCTCTGCACACGGGGGCAGAACTGGATCTTCTACGAGAACATGAATTCAATTTACAGTAAGGAAATGCTCTAAGCCGCACTCATCTAATATTTCTCCTTGTAGTTCAGCTATCTGATTGCTGCCTGCATATCTCCAGTCCTTTAAGCACAGATGATATCACAGGGAAGGGTGTCTGGAATTATTTGACTGTCTGAGAGCTGCATACTAACAGCAAAAGGCTGAGAATCTGGCCCTTGCACATCCCAGTCCCTCAGCAAATCTCAGCTCTGCCTCACTGCAATAGCTTTGACACAGTCAGCCCCAAAAACAACGTCTCCAAGTAATTTTCTTCTAAAGCATCATTTTATTTTTCTCCGCATCAAGAAAGAACGTAGTAACAAACCATTTACCCTGAATGAAGCCTCAGAGAGAAAGTGCATTAACAGAAAGGTCTAGACTGGCCTGAGGTATATTTTGGCCAGCCAGAAGTGGAACAGTACACTAAACCAGAAGCACTGATGTAAAATAGAGCAGAACAAAAGAAGTACATGCAATGCATTAATCAGGTTGTGTGGTAATTGAATGACATTTCCTAAATTTACAAACATCAGATAATGGCATAAGGTGACGAGGTACTGCTTAAAGAACTGTACCATAAAATACCTCAGCAGGCAGGCAATGTTTCCTGCCTTGAATTTCCTGGAGGGAGAGTTAGATTAGTAATGGTGAGAGGATTTTGTGTTACTGTGGCAGGATTTTATTAGGCAGCAACAGAAAAAGTATTTCTGACAAGGTGTCCATAAAAGAGAACTATCTTTTTCTCCATCCTAAGGAGCTGCCCCCCATGGAGTGAGGGATTTGGGGTGCCTCTGACTCCTTCTGTGCCCTCAGTTACTCCTGACTAAAAACTCTGCATCAGGGTGAAAGATTTGTCCCCGTCCATTTCTACTCACAGTTTCCCCTCAATTGCTTGGTGGTTTTTCCTCTTTAGCAGACACAGCCCCTGGAAGATGCCCTCTGAGGACCACTGGAATCTTGAGTGTGATTGGAAGCTCTCGTTGTCTCCAAGACATCATGGCTTCTCAAGGCCATCCTCATCCTCCCTGCTGCTCTCCAGGAAAGAAAATAAATGCTGGAATTGATCTCTTATCCTCAACTCCCTCACTCAGTGGTGGAGAAGGAGAAGAAACACGAAGCCCCTGAGCCACTCACCCCCAGCACTACCTCCCAGAGCCCCAATTTGCCTTAGTTCTAAGCAATTGCACCTGACACTGAAATGCCTTCCTCCACACAGAGCTCCCTCTCACAGGAGGGACATTCCAGCCTCAGGAAAGGACTTGACAATAAATGGTTGCAGGGAGTCATGTCTTTTGGAAATAAATTGTCTCCCTTTAGAGAGCTGCTCTCTCCGGTCTCTGCAAAGTGACACATCGTCACTTAAGATCATTAACTATTTGACTGTGAGACTCCTGCCTGCACAGCACATCGCTCTGCCAGCGCTCTGCTCCTAATGAATAATAAATTAACGCAATGACTCTGAGCCCTTCCTTTCATCAGCTGAGATTTCCAGAGGCTGGAGAATCTCAAAGGATCCTCTACATGCAACAGTTGACGTAATTACCTACAAGCAGCAGCTAAGTGGTGGGTGAGGTGCAGAAACAGGCTGTGGTAGCAATTGCTAGCAGTCCTCCCAACACCAGGTCTGTTAGGACTGACTGCCCACTGGTTTTCTACAACACCCTGAAGCGATGAATGGTGCAAACATGAACGTGGGCAGCCAGGTATCTGCCTGCCCAGAGAAAGCATCCTGTCCTGTTGCTTATCCAAAAGCAGAGTAGATTGCAAGAGGTTTCTCTTACCTAAAGGTGGGTTTCCAACCCTGCTTGCAAGGGGAAGAGATGCAGCTGGGAACTGCCCTTCGTCCCCACTTCTCTTGTGGGCATATGAGATTGTAGTTAACCCTGGGAACTGAAACAGGGATGAGCAGCTCCCTTTGCCAGCAAGACCCTCTGTGCCTCCATGGCTTTTGCAGGGCAGTCACAAAGCACCCCCAAGTGCAACAGTCTTGGGACTGTCTCTGCTTATGTGTATGCTCAGGTTTGCATGGGTCCTTTCTATGCTGCCAGTGTCTACCATAGAGTAATGCAAGCATGAGGCAGCAGTGTTAGAGAGGCAGACAGTTCCTCGCCCAACCACAGTGTCTGGCTGAGATGCCCTTAGTAGAATGAATCAATTGAAGCATTGCACAAAATGTATCTCTGGCCTTGGTTTTGTTTTGGAAAGCTAGATGAAGGCAAATGCTCCCCAAGACCTCCCCATTGCCTTTGAGCCTAGGGTTGATTTCTTTGTAGATCAGGACAACATGTTCCTTCCCCCTGTAATTTGTCTGTTAATACACACACCCCAGGATTGTTGCAGTGATGTAATCCTGAAACATTGTAGGTAAAAACAGAATGAGACATATTATTAAAGCAAGACATGAATGCTGATAGGGTTTTTTATTAAGCAGAGGTTTCAGGATTCATCAGGAGCTTTCAAGGTTCACGACAAGGCTTCAGGGAAACATCTGCCATGGGGAACATTGCCAGAGAGGATTCCTCATTCTGATCTGAGCCTTTTAAGAAGTTAACACTCTCCAAGACAGCTCAAGAGAAGAGTCCCATTGCTTGTCCTGTAGAGAAAGAAATCTATTCCTCAGAGACAGAACATCTGGGCTTTTACTGCTTGTCTCTCCCTCTGGTGAAGGATATCTCATAGAGGAACTCAACCAAAACAGAAAACTTTTGAACACTATTCCAGCTATTTCTTTTTATTACTAACATTCAAAGACAAGATAAAGACTTAATTTAAAGGAAGAACAAATAGTCTGTAGGTAATAGACTTTGCCAGAGGAAAGCTCTTCAACAATTACTTAACAGGGGAATTAAGAATTCTGCTATATGTTACCTATCTATACCAGAAAGAAAGGAATTTCTGGCAAATTATCCCAATAAAAAAGTGACCCTTGCTAGTGAGAACAGGAAAACACAAAATAACTTTATTTCTCCAACCAGTCTCCAAGACCGATTAGTCAATTTGAGCTAATTTAGTTTGCCATTTAGTTAGTGAGGAGATTTATTTTCATATGTACAGGAATGCACTGCAGAATAAACATTTATTGGAATACGTTACACCATTGGACCTGCAGCGTGGGATGTGTTCCATCATACAGTCAGCTATGGGTTCCAGGTATTTACCCCAGTATTCCTGTAGATAGATGCAATGTACGTTCTCAAAAAATCTCTTAGCAGCAGATATATAAGGTAAGTGGCATTAGGAGATCCCACATACAACCTGAATTCCCCGTCAGCACTGGCCAGCAGCAGATGCTGAGACAAAGCCCATGGGCAGGGCAGGGGTGCAGTGGTACATTGCCTCCAACGCTGGAGAACCTGTGTAGCCATCACAAAGGCTGCTGCAGTAACGTCAGTAATAACCAGTAATAACCTGGACACAAACCAAATGCTGTACTACTTGTTGAAACTATCATCAGATGAAAATGGCAATTTCATCCAATAATACCTGTGGCAAATATTTTTCAGATAGCTGGGTGACTCAGGATTTTCAAATGCTCAATGACAATGTGATTAGCAAAGATTTATACAGAAACTGCTTTAAGGAAAGAAATGGTGGAAAATAGAGATCTGTCCCTTATCTGCAGTGCATCAGTATCTGGAAAAAAAGAAAAAGAGAAGGAAATATTATACAAATGCAATTAATGGGTTCTATTAGAGTTAAAAGATCTGTAAATGCATGCCCCAAATACATAATTTTCAATTCAGTGTTTGCTAATAAATGGTTTCTCAGACAAATGGAATTGCAGGCAAAATTTTGTGCCATACTGTATGTTTGCAATGTTGATTCAGTAGGATAATTTTTTTAATGAGGGTTGCAGCTAAGATGGAAAAGAGTGTCCAAAACAAAAGAAGAAACATGCATTTTCCATGGTTCAAAGAATGGAGCAGGACGTGTACTCAAAGCTAAGCAAGCTATTGAGGCAAACAGGGTCATAAAGCTGGGTCATAAAGTACACAGAGGCAGCATCTTAAATGCATTGCCACAACTGCTCTTAAACAAGAGGAATATTTAGTGGAATTTAAGTTTTATAAAGCTTCTACAACAGTTCAGGCTCTCAAATTGCATTTTGTTTCAGGATGACTGCAACAAATGTTTGCTTTCATTCAGCAAAATCATTTGTGTTTCTGCAATGTTTCAGAGGTTAAATACTGGATGTCTGAGTCTCCGGGTTGTACCACGTACATGTCACTTCTTTCATTATGCATAAACTAGCGCTGAGAGTAGAGCTGTTCCCACAGTCGTTCTTACCCACTCAGTTCTGTTGCTAAAATATTACCCCATAAGTGATAGTCTTTGATGTCAAGTCTTTTCAACACTATCTTTCTAGGAGTAAATAAGTCCTTGTAGAATGAAGCTCTCTCTCCAGTCTGAGGATGTTTTTATGGTTTCAAAGACAGCCGGTGCTTACTTGGAGGCAGAGCAGGAGGCAGTAAAGCTACTCACCTGGGATGCTGCAAAGAGCCAGAGCAAACAGCAGCAGCATGCCTGCAGTCTTCATGGTGGCTGAAGAGTCTGTGTGCAGTACAGCCTGGGTTTTTATCAGCAAATGTAGCCTTAATTCTGCCCTCGGGTGGTAACCATGCTCCTATGTACGTGCACATGCTTGTGAGCCTGTGTGTGTGTTTTTGTGCACATTCACATTTGGCTTATCCACCCTTATTCTGAAGAAACTGGTCTTTTGTTGGTGTGGCAGTCTCAACAGAGGTAAGCCATGCTGTAAGCCAGGAGGAATGCTTCTTCATCAACAGCAGTAACAAGAAGTTTAGATATGTTAGATACACCCTCTGGATCATTATGTCAAGTGAAATATGTGACAGGTTCCTGCTGACTGCAGGCAAAAGAGCAACTGTACAAACCCAAGCAGCAGCTGCTGTCAGGTTCTCTGTGTGCACCTATCAGTGTCTATTTATGTGCTGTGCTTTTTCATGAGCAAAACATTGAATGTATTGCTCCCAGAGTGGAAAGTCTCTACTTTTATTCTCATGCTTCATCCCAATTAAGCACCATTAAGTTACAGTGAAACCAGAAAACCAGGGAATTGGGAAGACAAGCAAGAGGGTGTCCCAGGCACCAAAGGCAGTTCTTGGACTGGACAAGTGATGGAGCAACTTTTATGGGCATATGCAAAGAATTTACAATTGCTATTTCCCCTAAAAGCCATTACCATTGTGGGTTAGATTTGCAGTAATGGACTGATAGTCTGATGATGACAGAATGATGTGAGACCCTAGCCTGGATCCTAGAAAAGTTGAAGCCAGTCTGGAAATCACTGCTTCTGCCATCTGCCCAATTCAACATAAATCCTTTAACACCAAAATTGCTTTTTTGAATGACCTCATTCCATCAAGGAAAACAAGCACTCCTCTCCTTTTGACTCCCAGTTGAAATACATACAGGAGATAATACTTTCTAGAAGGGATATGCCAAATTTATTTACATTTCTCTTGTGTGAATCCAAAACCCACCTATTCAATACTTCAACAGAGGGCAAAAGCAAAATAAATGTCATGGACAACACACCAATGACAGGTCACACTCAAAAAACAGAAAGGTACTTTGTCCTTGGATTGTGAAACACTGCTGAAATACTCCGTGGGCTGGCAAAGAGTATTGTGTTATTAAATACTAGCAAAGACAAGTAGGGAGGAGTAGGAAACATCCCTAGGAAGGCATTTGTCTTAAAACACTTGGAGGTTGTTCAAGGACAATTTCAGGATGATAAAACCCTAGAAATAAGTCATTTGGAAGACCTAGACAAACAGGCAGGGCTCACTCACGTGTCTGAAAAACATGGGCTCTGCTAAGAGACTCCTCCTGTAGAGTGCTGTGCTCAGGGGGAGTGCTGTGCTCGGGAGCCCGGGGAGCAGCTCTCGGTGCAGGCACCACCACAGCCTGAACGGGCTCTGCTCATCAGGCCTGCCCAGGGAAAGTGCACCAGAGATCAGCTAGTGTCATCGCTTCAGAGCTGCACTGCAGCCTTCTGCAACGTCAAACGTCTGAAAGGGTCTGAACACTAATGCAGGCTGACTGTCTGTTCTGTGCAAAGACACATAGCTCTGAGGTTTATGCATCTGTATTTAATTTGCTGCCTTTTGTGAGAGGGAAGGGAGAAAGGCATTCTTCTTATACCCCAGAGCTATGCGCATGTAACCTATTCAGCCTGGCATCATCATTCAAAAAATCAGAAGAAAATGTTTCATGAGACAACACACAAAACAAGACAAAGAAATGTTGCTGATGCAGTTTATTGAGAAAGAAAATCAGGAGTGAGCTGAGCTCCCCAGAGGGCGAGATGAACTGAGGTGAGATCTTCGGCTGGGATTTGCCGGTGGGGATCCTGTGGTGAATTCTCTCAGAACTGATATTCAGCATTTTCCAAAATGACTTAAAGTGAGAGTCCCATTGCTGTCTCTGAAAGTGAGGAGGGGAGGAAAAAATGGATTAGACACAGAGTCCTGCCTGCTATCTGCCCTTTTTCTTGGCTCCTAGAGAAGGTGTCAGATAGGATGCTGCCCAGAGCCAAAGAACCTGCAGACTCAGAGTCCCATTAGCTATTTGACTATTAAAAGATGAGTGAAATGATTTAGCCCATTCTTAGGACTGAAAAATGTTTTGGGAAAACTATAATGAAACTTCAAATGTAATTTTCTTTGCAAACATACAGGAAAATTTCCATTGTGGTTAATGGTCTTCAGACCATTCATGGTAACAAACCAGCCATAGCTCGTTGCATGCTCTAATGGAAAAAGATGAATGGTTGGCATGATGGTTGGGATTTTCTCCTGCCCTGATTCCCTAATTCAACACTGGTCAACAAAGAAGGAAAGTGGCAGCTGCAAGCTTGTGCCTACAGGAGGCAACTGATAACACGAATGTGATCCGTGTTTGTACATACACAACTGCTTTGCAGAAGTCACACTTGTTACTGTATGTTTTGCTGTCAGAGCCACAGAGAGGCCTATACTCAGCAGTGCAGGCAGGTTTAGGGTGGTCACTGCAGTCAACCTGAAAAAAAAAAAAAATGAAAGAAAAATCTAATGTAAAGGAAACTAAGGAGTCAATAACAGAAGGGCTTGAACCTCTTCCTACAGCAGCAGTGCTAATGATAGTCATCTAACGAAAAGTAATTAACTTCCTTGCATGATCTGATATAAACTGAGGTGTCAGTTTCCCCTATGCCAGTAGAATTTAATAATATAAAAATAGATCATAATTTCCTGTTTGAAGAGATGTGTATCACAACCCGACCACACCATTTCTAAGCAGCAGCAGTTCGCTCAGTGAGCGTGCCACGCCCGTGGTCACACTGCTCCATGTTCCCAGCCTGGCCAGGAAATTAAATGGAAAAACACTGGTGTCTGGAGAAGTGTAGGTGCTGATGTATAAGGGTCCAGTACCTCCCCCATAGTCTTAAACCAGGAAGATCAGCATTTAGCTAGATGCTATGAGTGTGGGGTTTTGTTTCTTTGTGCAATGGGCGCTACACTTGCCGAGAATTATTGTAGTGCAAAAAAAAATGTATATAGGTCCAGGAAGGGGCTGAGGAATTTCATGAAGGAGAAATCTATTGAAGATCACAGACTACGCAGAAATCGCACCTAGCTGAGGTCCATCACCTGAAAATAGCTGGAGGTTGGAAGAGAACTCCCATACATACTCTACTCTTTCTCCCTCCTATACAATCCTTACCACCTTTGCTAAGAGCAGGGTCTGCATACAGCCATCATGAGCTTGATGGACCATTAATCTGATCCCAAAAGCCACCCTGCTCTTATTCTCAGTTCTGCCCTGATAGATAATTTCTGCTACTAATCTGTTACTGATTCGTTCCTGTGCAGTCACCTTCTTCCTTTTCTTCTTCTTCCTTCCCCTGACAACAGTGGGACTGAAACCCTGCTCCTCATCACGCAGTTCACTTACTGTAGCGATTTCCTTCTTACATTCACCATCATACTTCTTGTCGACACTGGTTTCAGGCTCTCTGGGAAGGGAAGAGACCTGTGTTAGGGAGCTCTGTGAGCAACCTGCTCTGAAACTGAACCCCACTTCCCAGCAATGCTGATCAGCTTCAGGCACAACGTATGGGGTACAGGAGATGTCCAGCTTAGTTTGTGTCCATGTGGCTCCAGATACTGGCTCAGGTGGTGTCACAGCCTGCCAGAGTGCTGTTTTATGGTATCATGTGAAAGACAAGGGAGGGTCCAGGGTGTCAGGGTGAATGAGGAGCTAGGTTGTGTGACAATGTAAATGGACCTGACGTTACTTGCTGTCCTCTGCAAGGCACTAGCTGCCACACAGACCCTTTTCACTTAGTTAAAAGAAGTATTCTGTCCTGTGTTAGATCCCCACCCAGCCCTCTACTTCTCTTTCTAGATCAAAGGCATAGTTTTCCTTCTAATCACAAAAGAAAACATGGTATAGTTATCAGGGAAAGAAAAAAAGGATCAAAGTCCAAGTGCCCTGCAGAAAAGGCCCTGGTAGAAGTCCTGATATGAGAAGAGCAGCTGCCAGGAGTGCTAAGCATTCAGTGTCCCTCCCAGGAGATCTCTGCCCTCACAGTACTCACAGGTCACGGGCACAGAGCTGGCACTCGTTGTCATAGGTGACCCCATCGGTACCGCAGACAGGCTTGAGCTCTGTGTTGCAGAGCAGCACCACTTTGCCTTCCTCGTTTGTTGTGTTGGGATATCTACTGCAGTCCACCTGTCAAGGGAACACACAACAGAGCGCCGGTGAAGGCTTACGTAAAGAAAGCAAGTGTATCTGGAGAGTGTATCTCTTTGGCCACCTAATATACCACCACAGCAGCAAAAATGCTTCTTTGTGTGCCTGATGACAGTTCACCTGATGATCAGTGCAAGATGACAAATGATCTGACATATGTCCTTTTATTTAGTATTTGAAACATTTTCAGGTGAATCAACAGGCAGCTTTGGCCACTTGCAAGTAGGACATGCCCCTTGTTTTGCTCTTGGTTTCACTTACAGGGACAACTTCCTTGCATTCTCCATCGTGGTCTTTGCTGATATTGGTTCCATATTCTCTGAACAGGGAAAGACAAATGTTAGAAAGTTCAGCAAAGACTTCCTGCTACATCCTAGGTGCTGGAAATATGTAACTAATACAAGGGAAAGCTGACTCTTTATGACATATATATACGATATATACATATCTCTTTTATATATATTAGTGCATAGATAGATAGATACATGTCTACAGGCTTTTATATATATATACATATATACATATTATATATATATTCTCTATATATTTGAGAACATAGTGCCACGCTCCCTGACCAACCAGCATTGCATGGCTGGCAGAGATGTGAACACTCTGAGAGCTTTAGGACAATTGGGGCAGTTTAGAGCAGAGCTTTCTCCATCCTTTTGCTCTGCTTTGCTGTGATGAGGTGTGTCCTAGGCACTGTCATCTAGCTGATCCTTGAGCTGGAGAAGAAAAATCTGAATAAATTACACCAGCAAAAGAGAGACATGGTGACTAAAGTGATGTTTAGGCAAAGGAGTGCTGCTACACAGTGGCACCTAAGTTCTTTTTGAAGGAACTGACACATGACAGATCACTGTTGAAAAATGGTGTTGCCAGGAGAGCCAGGCATTGCTGCCTGAGATCTGGCGTGCGGTACGTACGTGTTGTAGGCACAGAGCTGGCACTCGTGGCTGTAGGTGACTCCATCGGCACCGCAGATGGGGCTGCCGGCCTCGGCACAGACCAACACCTCTTTGCCTTCCTCATTTGTAGCGTTGGGATACTTACTACAGTCCACCTGCCAAAAGAGCGTACGTCAACAAGAGGAGAAGAGATTTTACATTCACAAGTCTCGTTTTGCATGAGACAGTGACCAGATGCAGCTGGCAGTGGGTCTTTCATTACCACAGCACAAACTTGTGCTGGTGGGTCGATCTGGCGACAGATGAATCCTTCCTGCAGAGGCCACCCCAAACAGCAGGAGAAGAGGATGAGAGGGCTGTAGTCCCCCAGATGGGGTAAATCAGTGGTGATCCCACACACTCACTTGGCATCATTTTACAAAGGTTGTCCATTGTTCCCTCATTCCTATATATTCTTGTGGCCCCTCCAGTGCACTTCTGTTATCACTCTTTCATTCTCGTTATAGGGGTTTTTTTTTAGAGGAGCAAGGCTAATGACCTGGTGTATGGAATTTGGAGTGTGTCATAGTGTTTTATTCTTTCAGTAGGTTGCCTTCAGGTAGGTTCTGATACCACAGTTTATTGCTATCATTTTAGAGCCAGTCATACATGACCAGCTTAAAGCTAGGACCAGATTAAAGTTGATGAAAAATTAATTAATCCCAAAATTTTGTATCATTACTACTAATATATTATTAAAATACAGCATAGATGTAGAGCTAAGAACAGTATAATTTAATGTCTTACACTGTAGAACCTGATTACAAGGGCACTAATTTCACGCTAGGTGGAAAGCAGCTAAGCATCTACAGGCCTGAAGTTATTCCCCTTCCTTTAGTTATGTCTCCACCATGCCACAGATCAGAAAGAAGTGCCAGAAACAAATCTTCCACTCACCTCAACCCCAAAGGCAGCATCTAGAAAGGAGAAGCAGAAAGTGTGAAACAAAGCCAACACGATAAGACCTCAGTTAAAGCTGTAAATCTGGATGTAAAATTCCTATACTCGGAACCAAACCTAGCGATTTCCAGTGATTGGTTTCCTGAACTAAGTAAATTATGCATGGGGGTTTTTTTCCCATGTTGATAAGCATAATAGCTTTGCTTATTGCTGGCTATGATGAAACATGTTTTTGAATAGCTTTGTTCTTTTAATCGAAAATAGAATAGCTTTTTCTTCCTTATCTTTTTGCATATCCGCTTTGACCCTAAAGGACTGCTGTTCCATATCTGAAAAGAAACTCAAGTCAATACAGATAAATGCAAATGCAAATAGTCACCTACAGGATAGGCAAATACATACAGCATCTGTTGTCAGGAATATGCATTTTAAAGAAGATGAGTGTGGAAAAAAAAAAAATGTCTTTGACTTCATAATTTCGTCAGATGCAAATACGCAGTGAGAACATCAGACTCTGGCCTGTTTTCATCTCTTTTTTCTCCATTAGCAGCACAAGTATTGCAGGAAAGTTGCCCGGCTACAAAGAACTTGCTTGAACCATTACAATATTTTCTTGACTAGTTACTGGAGGTCTGACCACCTCTTTACAGCCTTGTTTCAAGTGTTTATCCGTTTACTGTAACTATACAACAACAAGTACAGAACTCCACTTGCATTCATTTGTATTTATGACAGACAACCAGCTACAACAGCCATTGATTTAAGACTGTCCTGAAATCTACTCTTGAATCCTCTGCCAACATACTGAGGCAGCCTAGCTCGTTCTAGGAGAAGATATTCCCTCTTTGAAGCCATTATCTTATCTTTTAAAGACAACCAGGACTCAGATATGAAGACTCTGTGGCACCTTGAGTGTTACTCACCTGGGAAGCAGCACAGCACAAAGGAGAGGAGCACAAACACGCCTGCCGTGGTCATGGTGGAAGTGTCTCTTGAGTCTGCAGGCTGCCTGCTCCTGCTCTGCTCACAAGATGGTCTCTGCTAGGCTGGCTGCAAATATATACAAATGCAATGTCTGAACTGTTCAACTGTAACATAAAACAACCAGCAGAATCTGTCACCAGCACAATGAGGCTGGTAATATTTATTGAGGTCTTGACTTTCAGGTAATGGTCTGCATCTGCGAGGCGATTGATCTTGGCTGGACATCTGGTTAATGGTTCTCAGTGATCAAAACCAAACAAACATCTTTTTAGACAAAAGAAACCTCTTTAGGATTCTAGTAGAAAGGTAAGGAACACAAAATACTGGAGGGAGTAAACAGCAGGCCCTTCGTTCATCTCTGCAGAGTGACATCTCCCATCAGGGAGCAGCTTAGGCAGAGCACGCAGCACTACTCCACTTGCAGATCTGGGTGAGTCTGCTTTCTCCTCTGGTTTTGGATGAGGTTCCCCTCCCCTCCTGACCCCCTCCATCCATTCCCAAATATCCGTCACTAAGTATGAACACAGGTCAGGTGTGGCTTTGCCATCAGCAGAACTGGTTACGCTTTGTCAGGAGAGTCTGTCAGGACTGTGTCTAACCTGTGAAGCTAATGGTATTTAGCAGTGGTGTGACAGAAGAAACGTCTTCTTGACAGTTTCACTGCCTAGGTATAGAAGAGCTCAGTAGAGGACTTGAAAGCAAGTTAAATTCTGCCAAATGCCACTAAAAATGTCACTTGAACCTTATCAGCAGGGAGCACTTATTTACAGACTCATTCACATTTAAACACACCAACCAATTCAAAGTGTTCCGCCAAGCCATCTTAAGAACAAAAGACACTGGAGGTTTGGGGACCTATTTACATAGCTCCAGCTAAGCTTGAAGGTACAATAGGTCATTTTCCCTTACAGATATTTTAGAAAATTATACTTAAAACATAGAGCCTGTCCCAATTTTCCTGTCAGTCTCGCACCTCCAGCCTTCGTGCCATCTCCAAATTGCTCCTTCCTAGGAGGAGGTCTGGACCTCTGCTGTTTTAGTAGGTGTAATTTTGCAGGAGTGGGTTCTGCCTTTAACCTAAATTTCTCACCATGATCCCTTTCACAGGTCCGAAATGGCAAGCATACCTGTGGGTTTTTTCGGTCATGGTCATAGAGCTGCAGAGCAAAAGATGTTTTACAGGTGTTCCCTTGAACAAACAGGTCACCACCCATTAACACAATGAAATTCAGCTGAAATAATTTAAAGTTAGCCCAAGCAATTGTGTAGGTGTCTGATACATCACATCATTGGTATAAAGGATACTATCTATATACTTTGATCCTAAAGTATATAGATGGTATAGTGCATGAAATCACCTATCCCGGGCATGGGGATGTTACGAAGGCTGCAGTGCAGCTGTGTGGATATCTAGGTTACATTTTTACCTAAAAGAGATGTATTTCTTCACAGAGAGAAGCATTAAAATAATTATGCTGCTGGGTTTGTTCCTATAAATTACAGGGAGCGTGCATGAATATTGTAGACAGAATTGGCACATCTTTAAGATATATTGCCCTAATATGCCTTGTGGATGGCATGTCTGGAAGCCAAATACTTTTCCCTGAGCACGTACAGAGACACACTGAGGCTGCTGTCACACACCATGCTCGCTGCCTTCATCAGTTCACACGTACAGTCTCTGCACAGGTGGAGAAAGGAACATCTTTCTGGGTCAAATACGAACTTTGCCACTGCTTTCTCCAGCCAGGCAGCAAGACCTCTGCAAATCACCCTTTCCAGCCATCCCAGCCCTGACCTGGCAGCTCTGGACAGGTTGTCTCCTGTTTGGTGCCTACATGCTGCTGATCCAGGCTGCTCCCTGCCCCAGACAGTGCTGTCCTCCAGGCTGAACCAGCCTGTCTCCTGATGGCATGAGAGCACCTTTGTGCCAAAGGCTGAAGTATGTTGCTCGTATATACCAGAGAAAAAATTTCCACTGCATCTGTCACATTCAGGGATGGGCCTTAAAGGCTTCAAGCAACCTAGTTTCCCTCCAACCACCACAATACATGTCTGATGTTCAGCAGATTCGTTCCTTCACTCTCTCACTTACAGAAAGTCTAGGAAGAATCAAGCCTGTGACAAGTGCTGACTGGGGAACACCAGTCTCCCCTGAGCCACTCAAGGACAGTCTTCAAGGCAAGCCACAAAAATGACACTCAGATATCACCAGGCTTCAGACTCAAGCACAGCCTCCAGCCAGCCAATGTCCCCAAATTCCCCACCCAGAGTTATAGCTCCAGATGATCCTGCCTCTGCTAACAGCATGGAAAAACCCCACAGCTGGCTAAGCCCACGCTCTGGGACAGGTTGCCCAGTTCTTAGCTACTCCTGGAAGAACAGTTAGAAAGAGGATTTGGTCTGCAATCCTGCCACTGATCTCATGCTGTAATCCACTTCATTACAGCCTCCTAATCCTCAAAGTCAGATGCAGCATATGGCTAATGACCATTTGGCTAAAGGAAAACCCTCATCCGTGCAGAAGCCAGCACAAAGGCAAGGATCTGCAAGTAAGCAAGGCCACATTTCAGGCTACCACATGTTATGGTCCTGGGGGCTGACATCAGGGTAGGATTTGGTCAATAAACAACATCCTCTCTCACTTACCCAAGGAATTGCTTGCTTTACATTTCCCAGTACAGTTTTTTCTGTATCAATTTCATACTCTCCAGAGGAATCAAAACTGAGGCTGGGAAATTTTCTTAGCAGGTATCTACATTCTCAGGGTAAGTAATACACCAATAAATGAATGACAAACTATTTGACACAATTCTCCAAACATTCCTGCATTTTGTCATATTATTTAATTAACAAATAGTTGTTGTAAAAGTGGGAAATAATAATCACTAGTAGCTGTTTCATGAAATTGCCTCTAACAAACCCAAAATGCCTGCTAAATACAATTCAGACTGCAATTTCCATCTTTGTCTTTCTCTTGGCTGCAGTGTGGCCAATAACTATTTGTATGGAGCCCTGTGCCTGGAGAAACCAATACAGAATAAATGGAAGATCTGCCTCTCACCCAGTGCCTGAAGGCACCGTTTGAACTAAGCAATAAAGCAAAGTCACTGATACGATTAAAACATATCGACATTAAAATATATCCACGTGTTTATGAACTTATTAAATAGAGGTTGATTCAGGTAATGCCGGTGAACGTTTTCCTGAACTAATAAGATCACATGCAGAACTATGTACCCTGCGGGTGAAGGCTAACATGGTTTCACATTACTTGTGCAATGAATTAAATGTACTTGGCCCCGCTGCAGGGACAGATGTTGACACATGGGAACGAGTCCAGCAGAAGCTGCCAGGCCGGTCAGGGGCTGGAACACAGGGCATTCAGGCTAAGCTGAAGGACCTGGGCTTCAGCCTGGAGAAGAGATCTGCTGGAGATCACACTGCTATCAGCAGCTCCCTGATGAGGTTCTACAGAAGACAAAGGCAGTCTTCTCAGAGCTGCACAGCAAAATAATTAAATTCTGACTGAATATAAGGAACTATTCTTCACCACGAGGGTGATCAAGCATTGGCACAGGCATCAGAGAGGCCATGCATATCCTTCCTCAGTGATTTTGAAAACCCAGATGAACAAAGAAGGCCTTGAGCACCTTGAGCTGACATTGACTTTGGCCATGTTTTAAGTAGTGGTAGAGACCCCTAGAGAGCTCTTCCAACCTTAATTATTTTATTTACATAATGCTCTATCCTATAGATAGTTTTTATTAACAAAGGTACATAATACTTCTCCATGACCTAGGAGAGCAGCCTGAGTTTTCCTACAACCTTTGCTAAAGGTCCACAGGTAAGTTGTACAAAGAGCTCCCAGCACATTTTTACAGAGGATGACCAGTAACATGTACCAAAAAAGAGTAGGTCATAATCATTAAAAAACTAAACAAACAAACAAACAAACCCACAACACAGTAAACCATTCAAATTTGAGAATGTTATTGGCTCTCAATGATTTCAAAGTTTCTCCACTTCTGCAACAACCCAAGCTCCCTGCCATCACAGCGTTTCCCAAGAACAGCTTCAGCATTTGAACCTAAAGCAATGTTATCTGCACCACAGAAAATCAGCTGCCCAAATAGTGGCCACTTCACTGATGTGCAACAGCCCGGACGAGACGTGGGTCTTAGCTGCATGAGCTCTCAGGAACACTTTTACTTCTCACCTCACCAGCTCATGCTGTGTTCCAGATCTGGGCAATTTCTGGATGTTGAGGATATCAGGTCAGGGCTCCATTGCACTGGGCAAGAGTTACTCACATGATAGTAGAAAAACGTTAGAATGAGCAGCAGAAAAAAATGACAAAACATTTAGCTGGACAACAGTCCAGGTTATTGCTCTTTGAAAAGAACATAGTGCAAGGGAAGGTGATTTGAAGGTAATGCAGGAGATCTTATCCTGCAGCTGGTCAGAGGAAGAGGAAATCATTGGTTTAATCAGTTTTCCTGACACTTCAATGATTTCAGCTGTGCATCACTGAGTGCTCCTTTCATCTTGCCACAGCCCAAGCAAGAACAATGAGGAGATGGCTGCAGGGAAGTAGCAGATGACCTGGGATTGACACTGTTCATGGCTGCCTGACAGGGGAAGTCGGTCTGGCAACTTCACTGCTAAAGCTGGGATAGTCTCCTTCAGGAGCTGGGGTCAGGAGAAAAATATTTCAAAGGGGGAGGGGGGGGAATAAATTCAATATTCTTCTCTGCAAGGAGACATTATTTATAGCTCAATGCATAGTCAAAATAGAATGAATAAACATGTTCTGCCATGAAAGCAAATTGCTTTTTTTGTTATATAAACCAGGGGAATAGTTACATCTCCAAAGGACAGCAGATGAGGCGTTTTCAAGCTACCAGCCATCTAGCAGTACACACGTCATCAGAATAGCACACAGCAGAGGCATCGTGGCTGTGTCCCTGGGATTTCAGACAGCTATACAAGCC